ATATGATGTATGATATGATGATGATATATGACCTACCGACTCCTCTATGCCTAACTGACTGGCCAACAGAACTGATTGACTGACTGGTAGACCGACTGACCAACCAGTCCACCCAGACTATTTCACTGAATAGCCTGTTTTCCTTCCTTACAACTGACTGGCAGTACAGTCTGGCTTTGGGCTTCCAGGCTGCGTGAGCGAGTGACTTTCTAGGTGGCTGTTTATGACTGATTGACTGACTTATAACATATGATCATGGCTAACTGTTGCATTGCTGTATTAATTTTGTATGAATAGGAAAAGAGATGCCAATGATAATGGAATTACTCCTAATAACATTGTAGGTTTAAAACTCTTGATTACACTGTATTGTTGTAGCAAATCATGTGATGCAAAAGTATAACTACTTATAATAGTTTATCCAGTTGTACCATTATTTCAAAAGCCCTGTAAAAATAAGAACCAGTAAAAATACAGACCACTTTCTTGTTTATCTTATGTCATTTAGCATTCAAATCAAAGCTTCAACATTGATCCCCACACAAGGAGACACAAATTAGTTTGGGGATATAAACTTTTTTGTCTTTGGTTTTTAGAATTCCCCTCCCCAATGATAAAGGCCATTGAAATACCCCATCATAGGTCCATTTGAGGTGATTTAATCAAGAAAACATAGTAGTCTTTTGATATTAAATTAAGGACACAGTGTCACTGTGTTCACATTTACAGTAATTTTAGTGTTTTTAGTAAAACACTTAAAATAGCACTTGATTCAGTGACATTTCCAACAACCCAATGAGATAATAGCACAGTGACTCTGTTATGTCCAGAAACTCAAGCAATTCGATGCACACAAATTTCAATAAGTGTCACATTAAGTCACCTTGCTCTTCTCCCCAACCTCAACATTACTCCCGTCTATGATTCAGTGTCACAGAATTAAAATTGTTCTAAGATCCCATAGTTATACATGTATATTTGCTGTTTTGCTCACTGTATGCATCAGTAAACGAGATGCCTGCCCCTGCTACTGTGTAGTGTTTTTGATTTATTAAGATTAGTTACAAAATGTTTTGTAATCATTTAATTGTGATTAGATTAATGAGATTTTCTGCCCCATCAGTAAAATACAGTTAATGGAAGGTGACCATACTAAAAGGGTTATTCATGCTGCGATAGTTTTTTTTATTTATATTTTTTATTCATTTATTTATTTTTTATTTATTTGCAACACAACAATACAACAATGAACATAAAGAATAAAATCAACTAATAACAAACAGAATACTATACAAGTCGCACGTACTAAAGTTCATATTTATATATATATATAGAAACATAACGATTAAGACGGGGGGGCTTAGTATCAAACAGAAGACCACTTTTCAAGTTTCCATTGCCATTCAATTTTCCTCTGTAATTCTACAAAGTTGGGCATCTTAGAAAGTGTTTTACAAGTGTATAAATAATATTTGGTGTATAGAAGGAGAATATCTAGTCTGCATTCTTGGGCGTTCATCAGTTTGCATTTTATGTTGCGATAGTTATCTTCGTGTTCTTTGTAGTTGGCCGTTCAAGGTCGTAAAATCAATGGTCTTGTTGTATGTTAAACGAGGACATAAAAACTTTGTTCCTAGATCTCAGATTATAACGTACACCTGCATTGGCCAAATCTGTTAAGGCCTCATTCATTACTGCTACAGAGCACGTGAAATACCTACCTGCTACATAGTAGAGCCTGTGCAACTGGCTACTTTAATAGACAGGGTCTAGCTATAAAAGCCTCAGTTTGGTGTCCAAGGTTCACTTGGCAGTTTGTCTTCTATAGTAAACCAACTAGCTGTTTGCAATTTGTTTAAAGTTTTTCCCTTCCCTCCCTCCCCTTTGGAGATGGGTTGGATATATCGCTTTGCCTTCATTAAAATGGGGTCACTCCTGTGTGGTGCAGTTAAGTCTGCGCATCAACTTCCCCAAGCTTGTTGGCTCGTTTGCCTTTGTACATTGCTTACTCGCTAACCAGTTCTCTTGTCTGATTCAGCACATGCTGTTTGCCTCTCAGCTTGTAGTGCTGGGGAGATAAGTGAGGTTGTTCTACACTGTATGTCGCGCAATCTGGAAGTCGCATAGGCTAACCAGCCGCAAGACATTGTTCCCCTCAAAAAATGCCAATACGTCTGTTGTCTCGTTCTATTGTGCCTTGCGTTATGTGTTTAAAAGCTAATTATGTTGATGAGAAGGAACAGTGACTTTAATAAGAACTTGATGCCTTAGTGGTATGAAGAGAGGAGTAGGGACCAGCATTGCAATCTAGCAGCAGCCAAGACTGGTGTCGCAGAGTCAGGTGTGAACATTTTTAACAATTTAGGGTTTGTCGTTAGTTTGCAATGTGAACTTGCATCCAAAAAATATACTCATAGTACTTGATGACACTAAGGTGATGGCAATACCCTCTTCCTCAATCAGGCCGTAATTCCTCTTGGCCAAGTTCAAGGACCTCAGGCACAAGGAATAGGTCACTCATGACCATTTGGAAGGCAGTGAAGTATACCATACTAGTTTGCATTAGTCTCAAAAATTACAGTTATTTGGGTCATAATGGACCAGAACATTTGAAGATGAGAGTGAGTCCTCGGTATTGTTGAATACCTTTTCACACTGCAGGGACCACTTGTTGTTTCAAAGAAGCTGATTGAGTGATTGGTGGTTTGACATTAACGACAGTCACCACATGAATGCGTGGTTTCATCCACCTTGGGAGCATTAACCATGGGGGCTTGCCCATTGCTGAATTCGATACTTTCAACGATTCCTTCAGATTGCAGATGGTTGTATTCAGGCCGGGCCCTTAACAGCTTCTTAGGGGGTGTATGGTGTCAGCCTGGTGCAGCAAAACTTGGGGTGTGTCTCTGGTTTCATCTGTAACTTGGCTTTTACATCTTTGATTGTGCCAAGGCCTTGCTTAATTAATTAATTAAAGACGTTGTGGTAGGTCCAGATGGTGGTGTACAGTGTGGATGCTACGTGACATGGGGGGCCTGTATCAGATACACACATATTACAGATCTTCTTCCAGTCAATCTTTACTCTAGATATCCATTCTCTTCTGAAAAGATGTCCAGAGCCTAATTGACCACAAGAAGGAGAACATCAGCACTCTGGTCTCACACACTTGAAGTGTATGTGAATTGGTCTGGTTGTCCTGTGTAGGTGTGTACTCATGTACTGGACAGCATAACGGTGGGTACCCTGCTGATGAGGCGAAGCCAAATGTTTGAGGGTAGCGGGCAAACATTTGTGATACTCTTGCTGTCTCATTGTATGCAGTTGTGGAATCTGTATCTTTCAACAATGACAAGTTTCTTTGCTCCTATGTAATTCCTTAGGGTAGTACATTGCGAGCTGTGTGTACGTCTTATCAGAAGGAGCATTCAGAGAGGAAGTCTTTGGCCTTTGTACCAATAACAGAAATGAGGATTGCTCTTCAGTTGTGTGAACCTGAAGAATCCCCAGGAATGCTCTTGGTAACAAGATAAAGTTCTAGTTACTGGAAGTAGCAACAAATGCTAGTGGAAGCTGGATTTAAATATTCTCTCTTGCCCAGGCCTGGCATAATCCCGTTCTCATTGCCAGAAGGGTTATTTCCTGTTAGTGGTGTGAAATAAGTGTCTTGTTCAACCCATTATTTGGCATTTAAACCTTAAATAATATTTATTTTATAGTTTGTAACTCAACAGTAACTATACATGAGGTCTAATATACAAGCTCTATTATACAAGATTGTTTCAAACATTGGCTGGCTAATCAGTGATAAATGAACAAAAAAGTACCATCTAAAATAAGCTGCTTTTGCATTCAATTAATTATAGCTCCTTAATTGGGTTGACAGATTCCCAAGAGAGTTGATAACATTCCATTTCAAAATCCCTTTATTTGTCACAGGACACTGCATATTCACACGGAGATCGTTATTCTCAGTTGCAAGGTATGTAAAAGTTAAATTGTTTAAAATACCAACTCACAAATTTACAATTGGAGGTTATGGCAGTTTTATAAGAGGAATCCTTATTAACAGTTTGGATGTAATTGTTTTTAGATTCCTCCAGTGGAAGCCGATCTTATGGCAACACAGAAGAAGAGGTAAGTGTTTTGGTGGCTTATAAATTCCAAGTTCAGAATTATCGCCCTATCTCTGTGCTGCCCGTTTTGAGCAAAATCATTGGAAGAGTTGTACACACACATCTTGAGTATCTTTCTAGATCAGCTAGGCTATCTGTGCAAACATCAGCATGAATTTAGGAGCAGCCACAGTACTCAACAAGCTATCACTCAAGTAAATGACTGGGTCCTAGAGGCCATGGATGGCGGGAAAGTCACTGGCCTATTGTTTATCAATATTTCAAAAGCATTGATTCCCAAATCCACAAAGTTCTCCTGGTAAAGCTGGAGTCTTTAGGGTTGTCGCCAAGATCATTGAGATGGTTCAGATCATACCTTGCAGATAGGTGCGAAAGTGTGTTGATAAACGGCGAATTATCTGATTTTAGCCCTATCACACATGATGTTCCACAAGGAAGCATTTTGGGTCCCTTGCTGTTCAATATGTACATTTATAGCCTGTGAAATGCAGTGCAGAACGCTCGGGTGATTCTGTACACTGATGATGCAGACTGTGCTAACATGTGCTGCGTCAACCTCCTTAGATCTTCAGGCGGCTTTAGTACATAATTTCAAATTGACACGCGACTGATTCACAGAAAACAAACTGACCATAAACGTGAATAAGACCAAATTCATGCTTGCTGGGAGTAAAACAAAGCTGCTCTTATTTGATTATTTCAAGTTACAACTGGATGGTACACAAGTGACTATACTTGAGCTCTATAATATACAAGCTCTATTACACAAGATTATTTCAAACATTGGGTGGCTTATCAGTGATAAATGAACAAAAAAGTCCCATCTAAAATAAGCTGCTTTTGCATTCAATATAATAGCTCCTTACTCGGGTTGACAGATTCCCAAAAGAGTAAATAACATTCCATTTTAAAATCCCTTTATTTGTCACAGGACACTGCATATTCACACGGAGATCGTTATTCTCAGTTGCAAGGTATGTAAAAGTTGAATGGTTTAAAATACCAACTCACAAATTTAGAATTGGAGGTATGGCAGTTTTATAAGAGGAATCCTTATTAACAGTTTGGATGTAATTGTTTTTAGATTCCTCCAGTGAAAGCCAATCTTATGGTAACACAGAAGAAGAGGTAAGTGTTTTGGTGGCTTATAAATTCCAAGTTCAGAATTATCGCCCTATCTCTGTGCTGCCCGTTTTGAGCAAAGTCATTGAAAGAGTTGAACACACACATCTTGAGTATCTTTCTAGATCAGCTAGGCTATCTGTGCAAACATCAGCATGAATTTAAGAGTGGCCACAGTACTCAACAAGCTATCACTCTTGAAAGTAAATGACTGGGTCCTAGAGGCCATGGATGGTGGGAAAGTCACTGCATGGCCTATTGTTTATCGATATTTCAAAAGCATTGATTCCCAAATCCACAATGTGCTCCTGGTAAAGCTGGAGTCTTTAGGGTTGCCGCCAAGATCATTGAGATGGTTCAGATCATACCTTGCAGATAGGTGCGAAAGTGTGTTGATAAACGGCGAATTATCTGATTTTAGCCCTATCACACATGATGTTCCACAAGGAAGCATTTTGGGCCCCTTGCTGTTCAATATGTACATTTATAGCCTGTGAAATGCAGTGCAGAACGCTCGGGTGATTCTGTACGCTGATGATGCAGACTGCGCTAACATGTGCTACGTCAACCTCCTTAGATCTTCAGGCGGCTTTAGTACATAATTTCAAATTGACACGCGACTGATACACAGAAAACAAACTGACCATAAACGTGAATAAGACCAAATTCATGCTTGCTGGGAGTAAAACAAAGCTGCTCTTATTTGATTATTTCAAGTTACAACTGGATGGTACACAAGTGACTATACTTGAGCTCTATAATATACAAGCTCTATTACACAAGATTATTTCAAACATTGGGTGGCTTATCAGTGATAAATGAACAAAAAAGTACCATCTAAAATAAGCTGCTTTTGCATTCAATATAATAGCTCCTTACTCGGGTTGACAGATTCCCAAGAGAGTTATATAACATTCCATTTTAAAATCCCTTTATTTGTCACAGGACACTGCATATTCACACAGAGATTGTTATTCTCAGTTGCAAGGTATGTAAAAATTGAATAGTTTGATTAAAATACCAACTCACAAATTTACAATTGGAGGTTATATTTATGCCAGTTCTATAAGAGGAATCCTTATTAACAGGTTGGATTTATTTTTTTTTAGATTCCTCCAGTGAAAGCCAATCTTATGGTCTCACAGAAGAAGAGGTAATTATTTTGGTGGCTTATTGATCAGCAGCATTGCTAAAACATGGGTCAGAAGGTCAAGGGTAAGTGTCAGAGGGTCGAAGGGCCAAGCATAACCTTGGGTAAATGGTAAGAGTATATCACATGTCCATGGAAAGTGTTTAAAACAAAATAAACTGCCGGTTTTGTTATGAAAAAAACTCCTGGTCTGACATTGATGGCTTTTTCAGGAATTTGTTTTTAGCAATAATTGTTCACATCAAGAACATTTGCACTTCATCTCGTTTGAAACACAATTTTACCACAAGTTTCATGCCGCTGAAGGCATGCAGTGGAACGTGGCAATGTGGCCATCAGTCATCTAAATCATGTCATATTAGACGACCAATTAGGTCATGCTAAGTCACCACGGTATCATTGCCACGTGGTAACGTCTTCACCATACTGGCATGGCTGGCAGAATCATTCCAGTGACCACTGAACAGATTTGCGGTGAACATCTGGTTTTGTTATGGAGTCTTTGATATCTGAGGTAAATAAAAAATAAAAGGTAAAAAAGGATGTGATCATAGGTTCATAGTGCAAGCCCGTTGGTAAAGGTAGTATTGAAAACAGAAACTTGTTCTTTTTTTGCTCACGATGACTCACTATTTCATTGCCTCTTTACTTATTTTTGAAATACACATGACAGTTTTGGACCATTTCTGAGTATTTTGAAAATACAATACACCCGGAAACTACTAGATTATTTTCACAATAAAGTGAAGGGGCAGGAGCTTCTGTAGGAGACTCGGTTGTTCTGAGTTTGAGGCCTCAAAACTAAAAGGCAATATTAATTAAATACCAAAAATGTAAAACTTTATTTAAATAAAGTGGTCTTTTGTCTGTTAGATTTTAATTAGTTGACAATGACAAAAGTCTGGCTTCTGAAGTAAGCATTGGAGGACTAATTTAACTGTTTTCCTGAGTAGAAACTCACCTGCCTTACGCATAAATGTTCTGTTTAACATAACTGCGTCATTTACACATTGCATGTTGTGATGTTGATTAATGGTTTACTTATAAGTGAGTTGTCACCTTTTATGATAGTATAGTTGTTCAAGGTACCGTTGTAATCCTGATGAAGAAAACCCTAAAATTATTGTTTCATTTGAACTTGCAAGGTGTCCATTAGTTATTCTATAGAGTGGCTGTATTGTACCTTTTAAGCAGCATTAAGCTCTTGTGACATACTTCGCAGTATGTTCAATTTTCATCATAAGGCTGTTTTAGTCATGCTGGTCTTTACCTTTGACCCTGATCTGACCCGTGTTCTACCAACACCATATTCATCAGGGACGCATCCAACCGTAATCTTTGTTGAATTATGTGTTTGAGAGAGTCAAACTATTCAAAGGATTATCTCGGTTTTATGTTGCCAAACAGCTATGGATTTCTGTACTGAAACATCACCCAAAAGATTTGCAACCAGGAAAAAGTAGTCCCTTACGTTTTAAGATAGGATATTTTTGCAATTTTTGGCTATTAAAAAGGTCACCTACCACCTACCGGATGAGCAAATGGTTTGATGGGAAGTTCTTAATAGAACATAATTACTGTTCAAGTAGATATTTAGGTTCCCTAAAATTTTTGGACTCTTCAATTTTCAGCTAAGATATCTGAACAGACGCACGTGGTGACGGACGGGTGAGACGTATTTTTCTGAGCTCCCCATTTCTTTGAGTTCTAAACGTTCTAAAACATGTCAGGTAAATCAAAAAAAGGCCAAAAGAAGCCGTCAAATCAATCTGCTAATCAGACGGCAGCAGAACAAGCGGAATTATCCGAAACCGAAGAAAGTGTGTCTTTCCGGGATGGCAACGAAGCAATAAACATGGCCGCCGGTCTTCAGGATTTTGAAGTAATTCTGACAAGACGGTTGAAGGAGCAATCTGAGTCTATTCACGATATGATGCTTAAGTACTTCAAGCTTTACAAAGATGATATAGACGAAATTAAACGAAGCCAAGCTTTTGTTGACGCCAAATTCGAAAAGGCTAAGAAGGCAACTGAAGATCTAACTTCGGAGAACCGGCGCCTGAGATCAGAAGTAGATGCCCTGAAAGGGCAGCTTAAACAGTGCGAAATTAAGCTGGAGGAAGTCGAAAACGACAGCGAGGCATTAAAGCAGTATCTTCGTCGTGACATGTTGGAAATACATGGCGTGCCTACGCGACCTGATGAAGAAACAGACGATCTTGTGTGTAAGCTTGTGGAGTTGGTTGATCCTGAGCTTGAGATCTCGTTGGCCGACATTTCTATCAGCCATCGTCTGCCAAGTAGAGAAGGCCGAAATGCCCCTCCAATAATTGTAAAGTTCTGTCGTCGTAATGTCCGTGACCGTTTGTTGAGCAGAAAGAGAGAGAAGGGAGTAAGACAGCTATGGATCTTGGTTTTACCGAAGAGTTTGACTTGTATATCAACGAGAGCTTGACCCAGAAGAACCGCGAGCTTTTGGCTAAGGTTAAAGAGTTCAAGAGGGTAAATCACTTCAAGTTTGCCTGGACAAAGAATGGCAAAGTTTTGTTGCGTAAAGATGATAACCCAGCATCCCAAGTCTATTCTTTTATGTCTATGGCAAATTTTGAGGAGTTCAAGAACTCAAGACAAAGCTAAGTATCGGGCTATATACATTGACAGTTAATTATTAGCCAGTGAAGCCAAATGGCTTCTGACTCTGAGCTCCCTGAGCCTGAGCTCCCTTTTTCTCATTTAGGCATTTAGGCAATAACGATTTTAATATTGCTTTATATGAAATGACGCATGGACCTCTACATTATGATAGCGAACGATTAAGCTCTCTTTTGTACAACCCAATTGATAATTCGTCTGTCTCTAATCAGTTTTTCTTTAATGAGTTAGATCCAGATCAACAGTTTACTTTTTCTCCTCCTCCTAGTAATTATTATACTGAGGATGAAATTAATGCTAAGCTAACTAATAGTTCAAATTCTCCTTGCTTCTCTGTATTTCATATTAATACACGAAGCCTAATCGGTCATTTAGATAAATTTAAATTCCTGCTTAGTCATTTGCAAAATCCATTTTCTGCCATATGCGTATCGGAAACCTGGCTAACTGAGCTTACGTCGGACCAGGTGGAAATACCTGGATATAAATTTATTTCGAACCACCGCGATAGCAAGTCCGCCGGTGGAGCAGGTCTTTATTTACTTGACGATTTAGAATACAAATTATGCCGCGATTGTAATTATTCTGAACCTGAAGTGATCGAAACTCTTTTTGTTGAAATTAACATTCCCAATGGGAAAAATATTATAGTTGGTACTGTTTATCGTCCGCCTAATTATAACACTCGGGACTTTTTGGACAAATTTAATGAGATTCTTGCTAAAATAACTAGAAATGACAAATATTGTTATTTGGGTGGAGACTACAATATAGATCTGTTTCACTATTCCGATCATGCCCCTACTCAAGAATTTGTTGATAGTCTATTTTCCCATATGTTCATTCCTCTAATCAATAGACCGACTCGGATCACTGCTCATTCGGCCACACTTATTGATAATATATTCACGAATAATGTAAGGTGTAAACATTTCAATGGTATTGTTATTAATGATATTTCTGACCATCTACCGGTTTTTGTTTATGAAGTGGATGAGACAGAAATAGCGTCGAAAAAAATAGCCAAACTAAATATCTCACTAAAAGAGATTTTTCAGAAAGAAATAAGAGCAATTTTCGGCTCTCTCTTTCTCGTGTTAATTGGAATTTACGTTTCGATGAAAGCGATACTAATGAATGTTATAATAGTTTTGTGAGTGAGTATGTTCGATTATACAATGAAAGCTTTCCATTAAAAACGATAAAACTTAAAACAAAGAAAGTAATGCGCTCCCCTTGGATAACGCAATCTCTGCTTGTTTCTATCAGGAAAAAAGATAAACTCTATAAGCAGTTCATTAATTCTAGGGACTCAACTACTGAGTTAAAATACAAACGCTATCGGAACAAACTGAATCATCTTATAAAAATTGCTAAACGAAAGTACTATGATACAAAATTTGAGAAGGCTAAAAATAACCTGAAAGAAACTTGGAAACTAATCAATGATGTAATCAACAAACCGAGCAGAAAAGCAGCTCTGCCAAATTCCTTTTTCTCTGATGGAAAACTGTTAAATGATCCACAAGAAATAGCTAACTGCTTTTGTAAGTTCTTCACCAACATAGGTCCGAATTTAGCAAGGAAAATTCCAGACACACAAGTATCTTTTCGTAGTTTTCTTGGCGCTTCTGTTAATGAGTCGCTTATCTTAAATCCAACTAATATTTCGGAACTAAATCAAATATGCAACTCTTTTAAATCTGGAAAGTCGCCTGGATATGATAACGTTTCAATGGATATAATAAAAAGCACCTTTGATCTCATTTCTCAGCCTTTGGCCAATGTAATCAATTTGTCTCTTATTAAAGGAGTATTTCCTGATGAACTGAAAATTGCTAAACTGATTCCGGTATTTAAAGCTGGTGATTCCCAGTATTTCACTAACTACCGTCCAATTTCGCTTCTTTCTAATTTTTCTAAATTCTTTGAAAGAGTTATGCACAATCGTATTACAAATTTTTTAGATCGTTTAGATATCTTATACTGTTGCCAATTTGGATTTCGTAAAAAATATTCTACAGCGCTGTCTTTAATTCATCTTATTAATAAAATTGCAACTGCTATTGACAGAAGCGAATATACAGTTGGCATATTCTTAGACTTATCAAAAGCATTTGATACTTTAGACCATCAAATACTCTTGTCTAAGCTTGAGCATTATGGGATTCATGGGCTAGCACTTAGCTGGTTGAAAAGCTATTTGTCAAATCGCGTGCAGTTCGTCCAGTACAAAGAGACTTGTTCTATTAGGCTGACTCTGAGCTGTGGAGTCCCTCAAGGTTCTATATTAGGACCATTATTGTTTGTTTTGTATATCAATGACCTCCCTTGTGCTACTCGTCTTGCTGAAACTATGCTTTTGCAGATGATACTAGTGTGTTTTATTCTAATCCCGATTTAAATTGTGCTATTTCTGCCGTAAATAATGATTTATCTCAAATTGATCTTTTTATGAAAGCAAATAAGCTCTCTGTTAACATAACGAAAACTAATTATATCATTTTTGCAGCAAGGCAAAAACCAGTCGGCTTCCCAATAAATCCTGTCTTGTACGATGAGGTTTTATTAAAACAAGTAAAGGTAGTTAAATTTTTAGGGGTTTTTATCGACGAGCATCTAACGTGGAAGCCGCATATTACTTATATATGTAAGAAAATTTCAAAATCTATTGGCGTCATGTTTAGGTCTCGTTTCTTTCTTTCTGAAACAACAAAAAAAGTCTCTTTATTATACCTTAATTTATCCTTATTTAACATATTGTACCACAGTTTGGTCCTCCACTTATGTAACAAACCTTAATAGAATTTTTCTTCTACAAAAGCGAGCAGTACGAATTATTACAAATGCAGATTTTCGCGCGCACTCTGAACCATTATTTTTCCGTTTAAAGATTTTGGACATATACAACATTAATTCATTCTATACTGCACAATTTATGTTTTCATATTATCATCAATTACTGCCACCGCTTTTTTCGAACCTTTTTGTTACTAGTAGCAATATTCATAATTATAATACTAGAAGTTCCTCGCATTTCCGTTCTCATGCCTGCCGAACTAACACCAAACAATTTTCTATTTTGTTCCAAGGCCCTAAAATTTGGAATTCTTTACCAAACTCAGTCACTTCGATTTTTACATTGCAATCGTTTAAAACGAAAGTTTTTGATTTTCTACTATATCGATAATGCGTCTTGTACTGTCCGTTGTTGTGTGTTGTTATAGTTCTATTGCTTAATATTATTGTAACGAGGGGGCCTCCTCGTACAAGCCTTGTGGTTTTCTGAGGTCCCCTCGCCACATCTTTGTATAATGTAATGCTTGTGTAATCTTTATTGTGGGAAAATAATAAATAAATAAAATAATAAATAAATAAATAAACAGATCAAATTCTTCTGGGTGATCATTTATATAATTAGACAATCAGTCTTTTTACAT